CGGGCGCCGCGGGCCCGGGCCATGGCGATAGACCGGCGGCGCGAGGCGGCGGGCGGCGGGCCCGGGCGGCAGCCGGCCCCGGCCGAGGAGAACGGCTCCCTGCCGCCCGGGGACGCGGCGGCCTCGGCGCCCCTCGGGGGTCGCGCTGGCTCCGGCGGCGGCGCGGAGATCCAGCCGCTGCCCCCACTGCACCCTGGCGGCGGCCCGCACTCGAGCTGCTGCTCGGCGGCGGCGGCCCCGAGCCTCTTGCTGCTGGACTACGACGGGTCGGTGCTGCCTTTCCTCGGGGGCCTGGGCGGAGGCTACCAGAAGACCCTCGTGCTGCTCACCTGGATCCCGGCGCTGTTCATCGGCTTCAGCCAGTTCTCGGACTCGTTCCTCCTGGACCAGCCCAACTTCTGGTGCCGCGGGGCTGGCAAAGGCGCCGAGCTGGCTGGGGCCACCGCCAGCGGCAGTTGGGGCGACGTGGGCAACTGGACCAGCTCCCCGACCACCCCCTTCTCCACCGCAGCCTGGGGCGCCCCGGGCAACCGAAGCAACAGCAGTGGCGCCGACGGGGGCGACACGCCACCCCTGCCATCCCCTCCGGACAAGGGGGACAACGCCTCCAACTGCGACTGCCACGCATGGGACTATGGCATCCGCACCGGCCTTGTCCAGAACGTGGTCAGCAAGGTAAGGGCCGCGACCGCCCTCGCCCTGCGTCCTTCTCGCGAGCTCCCGCGCGCCACCCCGATTGCCTCCACCCTTCCCTCCGTCCCTGTCCATGCAGACCGAGGTCCAAGCCTTAGCCAGCCGGGGGGGACCTGAAGTCCCCAAAGTGGTGGTAATCTGTGTGTATATGCATCCCTCATGGGCTTAATTTTCTTCGTCCCCCAAACAAGGTGCATTTACTTGGGTGTGAAGCCAGGGTTTTCGCCGCCTTCTGCAGTGACACTACAGCCCCGCTCTCCGGGAACACCAAGCCTTTCCTAGTTTGCACCCAGACTCCTGTCCAGTGCACCTAGGGGAAGAGCGCCCCTCCCCCTTAAAGACTCAGCAACTCTTCCCCGCCTGCCCGGGTGAGGCCGCTGACCTGTCACCAGCCAGCTCTGGAGGACTCTCCTCCTGCAAGGTCTGCCAGCTGGAGCCAAGACCAGGCGCTGTCCTCCTGCCTGGTTAGTTGTCCCTGTGTCTCCCACAAAGAAACAGCAGGAAAATAGCGTCCTATTCCGAGATCTTCCTCTTTCTGGCAGACCTCAGATACCCTGCGCTTGGTTTGGACTAAAGAATTGAAATGATAGCCAGAGAAGCAAAGAGCTTTTGAAAATATGCCCCCCTTCCCAGTGCTCGGTTCTCTCTAAAGATATTTGACTTTAGACTTTGTCACCCCAGTTTCGTCCTACCAGTGTTTTCTAAGGACTTTAGTAAACAGCACTGGAGTATAGGAAGGACACTGAGCATGTTCTGGGGCCACCACTGCTCTTGCACAGCAGTTACCCTGGGCTGAGTAGCTTTAGCCCGACATCCACTTTGTCCTCTGAGTCCAGGAGGACCCCCTTGCAGTGCGCTCGCTGTATGTGAAATGTGGCAGGAGTGTTTTGTGAGAGATGTGTGGAGGCCTAAACACAGAGAATGGGCAACGGTGGACAATCAGTGCCCTACCAGGGGTGGGGAACCTGTGGCCTTGGGGCCACATGTGGCTTTCTGGATCCTTGAGTGGGGCCTTTTGACCAAATCCAGATTTTACAGAACAAATCCTTTTAACAAGTCCTTTGGATCTGGAGGGCCACATGTGGCCTTGAGACCGCAGGTACAGCTATAATTTTATGACTTTCTTAACATACAAGAGATATCATATGCCAGCTCGTCAAGCAATTTGCTTTTTGCCTCTTCTGTGTTTTAAATAATTCACATTTCAAAGTAAATGTAGACTGCGCCCCCCGCCCCCATTTTCTGGACAATTCTGGGCAGAGTTTTAAATGCTTTGTCTAAATGTGAGAATGAAATTCATAGTTTATAATAGTCAATGTGTATGTATTCCCACCCCCCTAAATGTGTGCTGGTAAACAGTTGTAGCTCATGAATGTGTCAGATGAAACTCTTACATCATCATAACCATTGTTTTAATCTTGCACCAACCTGGCCCGAAATGCTCTGTCCTGTGGGAACTGTCTGGTTTAGCTACAAGGTAATAGGGAAGATCCTTATAGCTTGGCTCACTGTGACCCCCCACCCCAGAGGGCCTCTCTTTTCCAGAGGTGTTTCTGTGACTGTTTTCCATCCATGGAGGGCACTGTTTCTTTTTGGTTTAGCAGCACAGAAAAATTAAGAACAATGACTATTTAAATCACTATGTATGTCTGGCAGACTGAGGATTTGGCAACATTTTCAAGTATGCTAAGCCCCATTCTAGAGCAGAGGAAGAATAATGGATCAAAGTGAGCGTATGTAAAGAGTGGTCTGTCCTGCCGTGAAAGGGGAGGTGAACTTGAAAGTTGGGAGGTGGGATAGACTATCATTCATTACCTTAGCGGTGGGGACCCAGGAAACGGCTGTTCACACTCTCCCGTGCATGGTGGGAGGAGAGAACCAAAATAGTTCTGGAAAACAGACCATGGAGGCATATTGGAGAGCGGGACAGTTTTTCTAAATTAGCACTCGAAAGGGGCGCAGACAGCACTAATGTGTGTGGCATGTTTTGGGGGGTGCTTGATGACATGTTGCAGTTACCTGACGAGACTGAGAGGGGAAGACCTGGGAACAATAATTAGAGACACATTTTTTTATACAGTAAAGACTAGAAGGGACATGCTGATTTTCACAGACAAAAAAGATCTAAATAAAGGACTGCCTTCCACAGTGTTCTCTGTGTTTTAAGCACGTAACAAATGCTTTAAAGAGGTTTTCAAGCACATTTTGGCACATTTGGGTTGGAAGGCGGACTTTTTCCTATGCCGGCTGTGTATGTTGGATACTGTATCAGATGTATAAATGTGGAATGTACACTATGATGAGCACAGGAGTTCCAGGGGTCACGTGCTTGTCAGCTTTGTTCCCAAGTAGAAGCGGAAGTGGAGGAAGGTTTCACCTTCCGACTGCGGATCAAAGTTCAGGGTCTGAGGAGTTGCTTCTTGTACCCTCTTCCCTGCTCCGTACCACAATCCGCCCTTGCAAACGAGCCTCACGCAGCGGCTTAGTCGTTCAGCACGTATCCTTTAGCATGTGTGCCTCTTCGATCTATGCCCTGTTCTGTCCCTGGGTGCTCGGTGGGGAGGGGCAGACAGAAGAGCTGCTAAGCACAGTTCTTGGCCTCTTCTCATCTAGCTGCTGCTGTCCTAGCACCTGCCTACGCCCGCGAAACTGCCAAGCCAGTTAGAAGCCCAGGTATCACGGTTAAAAGGGATCTTGGTGCTGCCAAGCCTCTCTGCCTCCTGCATGTCTCTGACATGCAGTTACCCATCCTCAGCTTGAACCTTGCACAGGCGGCGCGTGCTCCGTTAGCCAGACAGCCGACCTATCCCACAGTAACTCTGCCTTGCAGCGAGACACGCTTTTTTGGTGACTAAAACTCAGGTTATCTCATGCCTATTTGTACAGCCTGCTTCTCAGAATGATTGTTTTTATTCATTTATGCATTTTCAGTGAGTTTCTTTCCTGGCTGAAAAATCTATGGCACTTCAGCTCTTCCATGTGTGCCAAACTTTGCCTCGCTGATTACTCCGCTTGGCTTGTGTGTCTCTTAAGCGCGACACCCAGAACGCAACCCTGCAGCCCCTGTGTGTTCTCACCCAAAGAGGGGGCAGGTGGATACTGCCCTTCCCCTACTGGAGCCTACAGGTGATGCCTTAAGACTTTCAGTAGACACGACATACTTCTGCCTCCAGACCACAGTCACCAAACCACCACGTCATCTTCGTGGCTTGTGTTAAGTCAGGGCTTTCTCAATCTTTAGGCTCGTGTAGTGTGGCTTGCAAACGGAGGTTTCGTCTTAATGGTTTTTGAGTTTTTATATTTCTCCCGTTAGGGTCCTTTTTGTTTTTGGTTTTGCCTTGGTCCTTGTCATTTGTTGTCTATACCAGAATTTGCATCACAGAATCTGCAATGCCTTCAAAATCATAACAATAACACTACCTTTCTCTTGTGCAGCCTTTATGGTTCTCAGAACATTTCCACATACATTATTTCCTTCGATTAAGAATAATAACCCAAGGCCAGTCTTAACACCAGTCGACATCACGGGTATTAAATTAGCGAACACACTTTCCACTAGGTGTGAGCTAGGCGTTCTGCACAGGAACCAGGTACAGATTCTCCTCAACTTATGATTGGTTTATGTCCAGATAAACCTATTGTAAATTGAAAATATTATAAGTAAAAAATGCATTTAATATGCCTAACCTGCTGACCATCATAGCATAGCCTAGCCTACCTTAAACATGCACAGAGCACTTAACATTCGCCTACAGTTGGGCGTAATCATCTGACACAAAGCCTGTCTTCTGATAGTGTGTTGAGTATCTCGTGCAATTTGTTGAACACTGCAGTGACCGTGAAAAACAGAATGGTTGTATGGGTACTCAAGGTGTACTTTTGCGCCGTCGTAAAGTGGAAAAATTGTTAAGTTAAACCACTGTAGGTCAGAGACCATCAATATTCTACCTCATGATGACTTTTGTAGCTTTGTAATTTATCTCCCAGCTCTGTTGAAAGGCATTGTCAGTGTCTTCCTGAAAAGGGAAATCGAGCAGATTCCGTCGGAGTCCGATAGAGAGCAGGTTGCAGGGCCGCGAGAAGGAGCAGGTGTGCGGCCTGCTCACCTGGCTTCTGTCTTCCACAGCATCTCCGGTGCAGTCCAAATCCTCAGACACGTTTGGGATTTCAGTCAAGGTTAAAAAACCCCAACTCCGCAGACTTAAAAATAATTTGCACACTTTACCCTGCATTGTTCTCAGGGAATCCTTCCTGGTTTCTGTTGTTCACCACTCTCCTGAATAATCCATGCAGCTAAACTTTCCAAGCCCCGTATTTTTTCTATATTTGAAGTTTAGGATGTTTGTCCATCTCCAATCTTCTGATACTTTTCTTCTATTCTCATGAATTCACAAAGATTTCTGAACTTTATCCTGAAAATTGTTTAAATATCCTGGGAAGTAATTTGTATGCTCTTTCTAGGGCTAAAGTCTAGAAGTTATTTAAAGTGACTCCAGTATAATTTAATTAAGACTAAGAATAATTACACTAGTAGTATTTTAAAAAATAGCCCATAGTTCTATGTATGATCCTAGCCTAAGAACTAGCTTTAACCTGTTTTTTTTTTTTTAGAGACAGGGTTTTACTCTGTCACCCAGGCTAGAGTGCAGTGGTGTCATCATAGCTCAGTGTAACCTTGAACTCCTGCTGGGCTCAAGCCATCCTCCTGCCTCAACCTCCCAAGTAGCTATAACTACAGGCCCAACCCACCACGCCCAGCTAACTTTTTTGGTTTTTTGCAAGAAAAGGGTCTTGATTTGTTGCCCAGTCGGGTCTTGAACTTCTGGCCTCAGCAATCCTCCTGCCTTGGCCTCCCAAAGTACTGGGACTACAGGCATGATCCATTGCCCCTGGCTAGTTTTCACTTTTAAAATGTTCGACACATATACATATTTTTATAGTTCCAAAGTGTTCAGTTAATGAAATCTGCTATTTTGTCTGGA